TAAGTAGTAGTAGTCGTCGTCGTCATCGTAGTAACAGTAATACTACTAGCAGTGGCGAATAATAGTACTACTGTTTTTTTAACAACTATGATTGATCCTCTTACTTAATGCTTCATACTATTGGCAACAGTCATAGCAATAGTGGAAGGCTGGTACTAGCAACTCCGCTTTCCAATTCTTAAGCCGACTGCCTGGTACATGTTGAGAAAACCACGGTCGTCAACGTCACGAAGCCACGCCAACAGCGTAGTCGGCAAGCTGAGCTCTCTTATCCAGTGATCTGTTGCACATTTTTCCATTTCCGACAGCCTCTCAGCCTTTCGAGAAGCATCGGGTAAGTCAGGCAAAACAACCGTATTGGGTAGCCTGGGCGAGTACTCTTGCATGGCAGCAGCTTGCGAAACATCATGCGCGGCGTCAAGCGGACAAACTCGATGACCGCCTTGTTGTTCCAGAGGCATCAGGCACTGCGGGCACAGCAGGCCTTCATGAGGCTTGCTAAGTCGAATCTCAAAGGTTGCTGGGGGGCCCGCTCGCACCTCCAGCGGTGACATTGGTGGCAGTGGTCCCAGCAGATGAGATCGCAAGGCACATCGGCGTTCGTAATTCTGGAGCCACTTCCCAAACCACTGCGGCAGTGATGGATCGCTGAGATCCAATGGTAGTGGGGTGTGCTCTGGATCGTATTCGCAAACACCTGAGCCAGACCATAGGGGTGGCGGAAACTAAATGCAACAACTTGAGTCAAGCGGCCACCCAGCAGCGGCATGTGGCATTCTTTGCCTGTTTGGCACTTCATGGCGCACATTCAGAATTGCACAAGCAGTGAAGAGAAAGCCATCTAGTTGCGCAACCAGAAGAGTAAGAGTCGAAAGTAAGAGTGCGAATCCGGCAGAATTTATGTAACACTTATGTAACAGTATAGGAAAGAATGGGCAAAAGCAACCATGAGGGCAAAGAAGCCCAGTCACAGCAGTTCGCGAGGCTCTTGTCCACCGGCATGCTCCGAGGACAGGTGATGGGGGAAGCTATGCAAAATGTAACCGCTGATTGCATTTGACGTAGTGAGATCTTATCAAGAAGTGGTATGCAGCGTTTGATCTACAAACCTGCGGAGCAGTATCATTGCAGCTCCTAGAGGTCTCCTTTGCAGTGCCTCAGCACTAAGGTTTTTGTGCGGCGTGGGACTGCGATCCTGACAGCCTACAAGCCCATGGCTCATCAGCTGGCAAGTGATTCAACCAATCGCCTCGACTAACAAACTCCACTCTCAGGCAGCGCGCTACAGTGGCAGTGCAATGTCGCCTGCTGCACCACCCGTGCTGAGATGCAGGTGTTTCTCTCTGCGCACTGGTATGACCGAAGATGCAAACATGGCTCTCGCACAGTCATCCCTCAGCTCATGAGGTGGGGCTGCAACAGCCCACGTCCATGATCCTCTCCAGACGGCGTCGTCCCAACTCTGACCCTGCTACAAGCAACAGGAGGCGGCGCCTGACAAGGTCTCATCATGGAGAGATTTCACGCAGTCACAGCTCCTGGAGGAGCTCCTGAAAAAAGCGTGTAACCAAAAGGTGAACGGGACAGCAGTTCTAGCTGACCCGCGGACGAGGTTTTCAGGGCTGCCACCGTGTCAAAGCTTTGCGTAATAAGGCCCCGGTCACCCGCAAACACCAACACAAGCGTCTCAACGCGAACTCTGTTGTCCTACCGGCTTCTGGTACATTGCTCGGAGCCCCATCAACCAATTGTTAAGCTGCGTGTCTTACGACATCGACTAAATTCTTCTGAGTCTCGGAGGGTTGTCGATGGAACTTCACTGCTGGGAGGTATTGTCTGATCTACATCATGTCGCCGCATCATGCTGCAAGTTGGCATGACGGTAGAGACTTGCAAACGCCATGCTTCACACGGTAACATGATACGTGCAGTTCGGAAATGCGATGAAAAGCAGATGGGAAGATAGCTTTAGCTGCAGACACAGCGGATCCAAAGAAATCTGAGTCCATGCTTCGGCTGCATCCCGGTGGTGGGCAAGGCAACTTTCTTACTACAAGAGGCTGCTCTTTACAGAGCCACTGTCTCGCGCATGCGGTATGTCTCGGCTTACTCAGCCATTGCAGGATGGGCTGAGCTTGGGGTATCGGTAAAGCAGCAAGTGCTTCCCATACAACAAGGTCTGTCTGCTAGGCTGGCAGTAAATGGCCACTGGCCAAGCCTGGCGCAGGAAGCGAAGCTCCGACTTTTCCGGATACCGGTTGCACCTGCAAGCTGCCATATCTGTGATGGGGACGGGCGCATTCAGAACCCACAGATTTAGACACGCTGTGATACCATCTGTTTGAAATCTTTTGAAGATGACTTCCTCTCACGCAATTTTGAAAAAGAACCCGGGCAACGTAAGAAGCGCCTACCTGATCAGGTTCGAGCCAGCACGCCCGCCCAAAATCCTCCGAATGTTGCAAGCCTCACAGTTGCCAGGCCGACATCGACCAACCGGTAGCCACCTCCTGCAAGCGATTGCAAGCACTGGTTATGTGCAAGGCCCATCGACAACAAACAGCAGGCATGTCATGATGGACATGCACACAAGTAGTAGCAGCGCAAGCTCCGTGCACCCGCTGCATCTTTGGATGGAGTCCACCGACACTTGTTTGAGACTCATGGAGCCAGCCCTAGCCTAAAAAGCTTAGCAAGCGATGCAGACCCAACCGCCTCCTAGACGACGAAGCAGCGCCGAGGACGTCAAACATTTAGTTCCCTCAAAGGTTTGCTTGCTCAGCAACTTCCCGAATCAAAACAACTCCTGAGCAGCCGTAATCTAAGGCTCCAACAGTAGCGACAAGGGTCGCGTGCGATCATTGCTGGCATGACGTGCCCGGAGCTTCCTTAGCCATCACATGGGAAGGTCTGGCCGGCTTGAGACAATTGGATTCTTCTCAAAACTCAAAAAGATTGGGAAAACAAAGGCCTGCTTGACTCAGCCTGGAGTGTCTTCGGTGCAGGAGAGCCTTGGCGTAGTTGCACATTCATCGCCATGGCTTCTGGGCTATAAAGATCCATCTCCTGAAACTAAACCAACGGCTGTAGCAAGTGTCCTTGACATAAGTGGCAGCTGGCCTGGGATTGGCCGGTACGTCTCTCTTTTTTGGTCGCTGGGCGATTCTCAATCAAGCCCAGAGCACTAGTAGTGATTGACTCGTGCTGCGTGCTCAGGAAGGAATAGGCAATGCCGACATTCACCCATGCGTTCAAGTTGTGGAGCGTAGTACAGTCCCAAAAACCACAGCAGCACAAGCTCAAGTCTTGTCAGCAAAATGAAAGCTTGCAAGCCGCGGTGTCAGACAGCACTTATGGCCATCAGGGGGTTTCCCAAAATGAAGGGTACCTTCTATGCTAAGGACTCTAATCTTTTGGGGCCCATTTTGGGGGTCCCTTTTTTGGGAAACTACCATCAAAGAGTCTGTGCATGGCGCTGGCACCCAGACCTCAGCAGACTAACTCCCTGGCAGCCTTTGGGCCCAAATTTCCAAGAAACTGACAGGAATCCATAACACCAGCTCCACATAGTAGTATATATTATAGTGTATGGTAATAGATATATAGATATTATATCATATTGTAGCATATATTAGGGCATAATATAGTCTATTATAGTAGATGTTGTAATATATTATTCCTATCATTGCAATTATTCTTACTGCTACTTTTATTGTACGCGTCCACTTTGGCTGCTATCTGTCCCAGCTGCAGTGCATCATCGCCCTTCTCTGTCCTCCAAATCGAACCTGAGCAAGCCGACGTCCAGCAGGCCAAAAGCCACACCCATACTGTTACTACTATAGTTGTTCTTGTTATTCGGAATATTACTACGTACTATACTACTATTACTATTAATACTATCATTACTGTTTGTTCAAGATTGGAGGATGGGAAACTATACTTTAGGTGGACCCCCACCCAGTACCAGTAGCGACTGACTATGCGGACACAGTGGTGATTATACTAGGGTCCTCTTATCATCTTGATACCACTACTATAACCCTAAACCCTAAACCTTGGGGCCCACCTGAACTACACCCTGCCGCATGCAGCCTGGAAAGCGGCTGGATTATGACCGCATGCATTGGGGCTACATTTAAGGAAAATATTAGGATACTGGAAAAGAAAATGGAATCTATAGGGATTATATAAGGTTATATAGGGGTTACGTAAGGGTTGTATTGGGATAATGGAAAATAGTCAAAATGGATACTACTATAGTATATTGGGGAAAATAAGGAGTAATGGAACAGAAAATGGAAACTACTTTTTTTTCTGTAACCAAGTAAGTACACAGGCACAGAAGAGAGCTCATAGAGTTTAAGAGTTCGATGCATGATGCTTGTTGCGTTTTCAGGTCCTTCCATTTTCTTGGGCGCTGATGCAGGCATGGGTCCCAAACCCTTCAACCCTAGAATCCCAAACCACTCTCAATTCCCATGACCCTTTAGGGTTTAGGGATTACGGTTTAGGGTTTAGGGATTAAGGTTTAGGGTTCAGGGATGAGGGTTTAGGGATTAGGGTTTAGGGATTAGGGTATCACCCCGTTGACCCTATACCCCTACGACCAGGAACCCCATAATCCTACGTATCGTCAGGATCATCCACGCTTGGAGCTCTCAGAGTTTACCTCAACATAAGCCTAATAGTCCCCCAGTTTCCATCTAACTGTCCATTTGATTCTCCATCGCATGGGGATACTATCCCTACTATCCCTACTATCCCTAAACCCTAAACCCTAAATATCCCTATATACCCCTATTATACTAACTTAAATATCCTTACATAGCCCTTTGAATTATTATTGGGATAAGCAGCTCCTCCTGAAGGCGCCTCGCCAGCGCCTCGTCGTCCTCCTCTGTCTAAACTCCTAGTATCCCCTCTAATAACTCCTGTAAGAGTCCCCTATATAATCCCTCATAGAACCCCCTTTAAGGACTTTAGATTATAGCTCATCTGAGCAGCAGGACCGCAGCAGCAGCAGCAGCAGCAGTACATCATAGAAGTGCATGGTCGTCGTCGCCGCCGCCGTCATCGTCGTGGGGTTCTTAGAGGCTCTCTCTATATGTCTTTCCTATGGTCTTCCTGACAGATATACTGATGCTGGACGAGTCCCCGTGCCGCCGATTAGATAAACTGCTAGGCTCAACTGCTCAAGATTGCAATTGCAGCTCACGCTCTTGATATGGCAGTTGTGAGCCTGTCGGCCTGGGTGCTTGCAGCTGCCGCCGGGGCGGCCGCACTTGCAGCAGGCGTCTGTGCATATCCGCCACTGGGCACCTTCTATCTGATTGCATCACATCAGGTTCTGCAACTTCACGTACCTTAAAAAGCACAGTTGTCATTACCGTTACTGTTATGCTATTAGCATTGTTGCTATTTTCATTATCTGGGCTCTAGATGGCGCCGGCCTGCCCAGCTCTTCTCATGGCCGCCTCTGCGGCGGCTGCTCGAGCGGCTCTCCGCTGCTCCGGATCCGCAGCTTCGCTGCCCAGAGTGCGGCCAGAGCCCTCAAAAGACCGGAAAGCCTCCAAGGTCAGTGCATTTGTCAACAAAACTGGATCTAGTGAGTGAAGAGCCTCACCCTTGCTGGCTGCTGGCTTTGCCGGCTCTTCGCTGCCAGTCATGGAGCTCACGGACTTCCTCCCACTCTATCGGACTGGACTGACTCTTCCACTCAACCCACTCTGCGCAATCTGAACTATGAGTAGCAGCGGCAAGGGAAATCCTCATCCAGCTGCCGACGCCGCTGAGGCTTTCACCTACCGCAGATGCCGCCTGCACGGCACCAGTCCAAACAGCACCAGGAAAAGCATCGACACTACTAAACCGCACCGGAGTCCGAGAGGCCTCTCCAATCTTTGCCCCCGCACCACTGGCCGCCTCACCAAGGCGCTCTCCCACTCCGGGAGCGCTGGCGCTGCTGGGTGCCTGCAGCAGCGCAGGATTTCTGCCACTTCAGTAATCGTAATAATAATAAGAATACAAATAATCGTATGATTAATAATTGTGGTAATAATGATAACAACAATAGCATTACTAATATTTGTAATAACAAAAATAATGGCTTCCTATAGGTCTTAGGCCAGGCCTGGGGAGCAGGAGTCGGCTCCTCGCTGCTTCCCAGGCGGCCACCGCCCCAGTTTTGGTGGCCCATCTGTCGCACATTAGCTGCCTCCTGGCACAGCTGGTAATAATAATAATAATAATCATGGTTTAATAAAGGTAATAATTAAAGAAAGAATAGTAATAACAATAGTACTAGCTGAGGCTGCCTTGCACGCATTGCAGATCTGACTTCCTGTGGAGTCCACGGCCTGGGCGGTGCATCCAAGACAAGTCATGGAAGTCCCGGGTTGCTGTTAAGGGACTTAATTTAAGTTACTACATTGGGGAAACCATACTAATTGCTATATATACCCATTATGGTACCTTATTCTAAGTCCCTTAACAGCAACCCAGAGTCACGGGCACCGCGTGGTCAAGCACACGGAGACCAAGCAACTAAGCGAAGAGCATCACAAATACCTGCAACAGCTGGTGAGCACTGATCTCTCCAAGGTGTCCACTCCAACATGTTCACTTAACATAGGCTTTTGATTTCAAACCTGCAGGCTCTTTCATCCTCATCATCATCAACATCATCATCATCACCACCATCATCATGATCATCATCATGATCATCTTGTGATTATTCTTCGCATGTTTATTCTCCTTCTCATTCTTCTTCTTTGTTGTCTTAGTCTTCCCCTTCTTTCTCTTCTTCTTCTACTTATGATTATTATTCCTCTTCTTCTGCTCCTTAGATGCACCATTAAACGACTATGTTCCCTCTACAGTGGTCCTTCACTTGCTGCAGCGCCCGCGCGGGAGCCCGCAATTGCGCCACCGATGGCGCCGGCAAGAGCACCCACTGGGCCAAGCACTGCCCCTGCGAGCATGGAGCCACCTGGGCTTGTAGACGAGATAGGAAACAGCAGCGTGGTTATGGATCGTACAAACTGGTTAGATCTCTTTATTCACGGCTCAGGTGATGTGGCAGTGAAAATGCTCGGTTAAGTAATTGGGCTCATGCCAGCCTTGGCACCCGCAGCTGCAAACAGTACAGGCTGAGCCCATGACCTACAGAGCCTCCAAGAGAGCCCGCTATGCTACCGCCAGTCTGATAAGCGTCCCGGTTCTGAACCGAGGTGTCCATCCTCGGGCTCACGGCTCTCAGACTGATTAACCCGCAGCGCTGCATTGCTGAAACATGACTTGCAGGTCCAAGTAAAACATTCAGGCGCAAGATGCGGCCGCCGACAACGCTCGCAAACGAGGACCTTCCGCTGCCTGACATACCTCGAGACAGTAATTTCTGCAATGTTGCTATGCTGCAAGCAGTGATTGTCCGGGCAGGGTGCTGCTCATTCACGGTCTCAAACGGCATGGTGAGTGCCGGCCAGTATGCTGTACGCTGGCCCGAGACGCCCCACACTGCTTGAGAAACAGCTGCATCCAGCGCTCCATAAATCGCAATCAAGTAGTGGGAAGCAGAAGTAGTCATGCAGCGCTGTCCCTTCCACACATCTGACAAATGGTTGGCCATCCTTGTCTCAAGCTGAGGGCACGGCATGCCCTTTCAGAGATTGCATCACAGGATAGCCTGGAGCAAGCGACCAGAATGAGGTCGAAGGGAAGAACATGCTTGCCCACATCACAGATGGCTTCCAAGCTAATACAAGCAGCACCTGCGCGGGATGAGGCGAGAGGCGAGAGGGATGAGGCTTCATGGAGAAGGTATGAAGGTCACGGTCGAACGGAATTCTGGCCAAAACACGGCTCGCGCTGCTTCGAAGACCTTGTTTTTTCCTCACCGCTTGGTCTATCCAACTCTGCAGGGAAAATGGCTGGACAAGTGCTGGCAGTCAAGAACTGCAAGCCATCTGATTTTTGGCAGCCCGCAGATTCTGCCGGTGCCAGCCAGCTGCACCACCTGAGCTCCTCACCCAACAGCTGCATGCTCAATGACAAATCAGTCCACAGCCACTGATGCCACGGGCTCTGAACTGCGCTCCGAGGATTCTGCTTCCTTGGAGAAGACCCGCTTGTGATCCTTTCGGATGTCTAGCACGAAGCCTAACTGCCGCTGTCTCTGGGCATTGGTGTAGAGGTCTAGAACCTGGTCCTTGGACAAGCCGCGGGCCATGTCCTCCTCTGTAAGATGGCGGCCACCATTTGGAGCTGCGGCTATTATGAGGGAGTTGAAAGCCTCTTCCGCCATTTCTGTTCCCTCCGTTGCGAGCTGCACGGCTGAAGTTTCTTGGAAACTCCAGAAGCCATCCTTGTCCTGATCAAAATGCAAGAACAGCTCCTCTGCCAGGTTGAGGGTCTCGTTGGTTTTGGTGACGTTCGCCCACAAGTCCTGTGCCGTGTTGCCAGCGCCAATCTGGATCAAGGGAGCCTGAAGAAGGTCTGGATTCTTCTGGTACAAACCCCAAACATCCTCCTCAGAGCCCGCAACGCTGTTGTCGTGACCTTCCTGGGTTGCTGTTAAGGAACCTAAATTAAGTTACCATAATGGGTATAGATAGTAAATAATAAGGTTTCCCCAATATGGTAACTTAATTTAAGTTCCTTAACAGCAACGCAGCTTCTTGCAGCGCCTTGAGAAGGGCCTCTGCTAGAGATGTCTCGCCGCCAGCTTTCGTAAGCGCATCCTCCGAGATCTCAACGCTACGGAGGTTCTGCAGGCCATCAAAGGTGACTGTTGCTGCCCCATCCAGTGCAGATGCCTTGAAATCTGCCTTCTCCATTTGAAAACCCAGCTCCTTCATGTTGTGGCCAGCTGCAACCTGCGCCTGGATCAGCTTCAGGTTGGCTTTGGACTGCAAGGCTGGAATTTCTGATGCCGATGCTCTCCTTGAAATGAGCCTTCGTCTCATGGGCGTTTGGATAGCAAGGCCGGAGAAGGCGGTAGACAGCTGTATGACCGTCGCTGCCAAAAGAAGGGCCACCAAACAAGGCACCAGTCTTCGACGCAGGCGCAGGCAACACCCCGGTGTTGAGGGCGCCATGGCCCCTAAGGCCTACAAGGCTCGCAAATCTATGCAAATATCTAGCCTTGGGCCGCAGCCAGTTTCCCTGACACATGCCGGCAGAGGAAGCGTTCATCGTTACTTGGCTCGCATTTGATGCATTTACCACTAGCAGCTCGATCAGAACTATCACCACGTAACGCATCTCACATGCTTCACCACAATGCCAAAGCAAGCCGTAGCCCACCTGGACGTGCCAGCGTAGGTCTTGGCCGGAACATCCAAGTCAGGCTCGTGGCCTGCATTATCCGAAAATGGGAAGCTTTCGGGGATCTTGGGGCTCTTCCGCAAATTGCTAAGCCAAAATGAGGGGTCCCTACTAAGGCTTGCGAAACTCTTACTTATTCAATGGATCCTGCATGCTTCAACGATGGGCCAGGCATCTCCAAAACCCCATGCGATCATCCTATGCGATCCCCCTCCTATGCCATGCTAGACACAAAGTCACAGGCATAGTCCTTCTGCAACCCTGTGCTCACTTCTGGTTAAAGAATGGAAGCATGGATCCTTACGAAAAAAGAGGGGGTTTATTAATCATGGGTCTACATTAGCCCTTACAGCCCCTACGTACATAGTCCCCAGTAATATGGTGGCATCCATTTTCTTGTGCATTGCTTCAGTCCCTGCAGACCAGAGCGAAGCCGAGCTGTGCATCATGTCCATGTGAGCTATAGTCTAAACTCCAAGTATCCGCCTTAACAACCTCATAACAGTCCCCTATATAATCCCCTATATATAACAACCTGGAAGGAGTTTAGATTATGGTTCATATCAGAACAACGTGTGCCGATGTAGCAAATTCCACAGCTGAGATAATTACTCTAATGCAGTAGAGTAAAGTATTAGGTTAAACCCCCAACCCTGTAATACTGGGTATAAAAGGAATCAAACATGCCTCTGATTACCAGTCCCTTGTAGTCACTACTGCAAGCTGGGGGGTCCGCCTAAGTTTATGCAGAAATACCGTAACACTCCCCACGATGCCTCTGTGATCCCAGAAAAAATTGCCATGTTGAAAGCTCTCACAGCACTCTCTTAACTTTCAATTGAGCACCCCTGAAGATCACCAAGCGAACCCGCCAAGCTGAGCCCCCAAACAAAAAGAAGCCTTTTTTCCATCAAGATGCATCAAGATGCATCAATGCTTTGCACTCTTATTGCCATAAGGCTGCTGCCTAGCCCTTGTCACTTTATATGCTCCAACACCTGAAATCTGAAAAAAATATTACCAGGTCTGCGGCGCAACGGACGAGATGCAAGGCCCCCCTTGCCATCCGTCCAAGTGGCCTCAAGCACACGGAAACCTCACCTCCAGGAGCCTCAACATTAGGAGCCTCTGTCGATACATGGGAGTTTCCCAAAATTGGAGGTACCTTTTTGGGGGTCCCTATATATTGGGGTCCCCCTATTTTGGGAAACTACCACATTTTTGAGGGACCCCTGGAACCATCTGGAACCTTGGCAAGAACCCACATCAGTCGCATCAGAGCATGCCTTCGCAGCACGTCTTCAACTAAGGCTGCCACTGAATGAACACCATACTTCATGAGCAATTGCATGCATCCCCGCGAGCAAGGCTCAGCCCAGTTGAATCCGGGGCCAACATCGGCTAATTCCACCACCAGCATGTCCGCCTTTCCAAAGCGGCATGGTCTGGTGTTGGGGCCCCCAATAGCCCATGCAAACTGAACTCTTGCATGTAACACATTTCTCTTCCATGAGGTTTCCACGCTTGTGCGAACATAGTGTTAGAGTAGTCTAAGTCTATGGGAGTATAGTAACATAGCAATAGCAATACCGTACTTTTTCTGAGTACATACCTGGGGTGATGAGAACCCTATTTCGCAAACCACTGCGTTGGCCTCGAGGGACGACAAAGACGACAGCTCCGGCACTTGCAACAGACAATGTACCTGCACTGCAATTATTACTTTAATTATGATCATGGTTATTAGCTACTAATATTCCGACCATCGCTACTAGTACAAATAATACTAGTATTTCTATTATTCCAGAACAACTTTACATTGGGGATCTCTTTTTCTTGCCGCTTGCACCGCCATGCAGCATCGCAAGGCAACATTTCCGGCAAAGGTTCTTGGTCAAAGCTGCGAGATGGGATTCTGGAGGCTGAGCTTGCAGGGTTGGGGGAGAAGGGCGGTTCAGTGGGGGTTTCCAGGCTTGGTGGGCGGTTGGGTTTAGGTCACCCTTCATGTGCTCCAAAATTGTGATCCTCCTTGGAATGGTGACCCCGAAAAAAGGGACCCTTGGTTCTGGGAAACCCCTCACTTCAACAAAAGAGAGCTACCGCTGACCTCCGCATGGCGCTGCGCTGTGCGAAGCTTGCTGCGCTTCCAGGAGAGTCCTGCGTTCCGCGCCTGCGCAGATCAGTAGTTGGAGTTTCAGGTTCAGGTTAGGTCAATCCCCCCATATAGTAATAGCTCCTTCATGTGGAATTAATAGGTTCAGGGTAATCATGATGTACTTCTCACTGCGCTCACAACCGATCACGAGCCCCAAGTCCCCTAAAACGGCTGAAGCTGAATTCAAACAACATCAAAGTGTAATTTCCCGTGTGAACCATAGTCTAAACTCATAGCATGTATAGTTACATAGCTGTATATATATGAGCTACAGTCTAAATAAACTCCGAGCAACCCCCTTAATAGCCCCTGTAGTCGTCCCCTACATGACCCCTTTTAAGGAGTTTAGACTATAGCTCATGTACCAGCGAATCGGCTACAGAGCTGCCGGACCTTTCCTCACTACCACATCAATTTTTCCACATTGGGCAGAAACCGTGACACAATTGCAAGCCAATGTCCCTCTAAAAAATAGTTTCCATCTTGTTCTCCGTTATTACATATAAACCACCCATATAACCCTCTACATATTAGTATGTTCTATGTTCCTTTCCGCGATTACTCTCCCAACCCCGCCTCTTCAGAGCTTGCAAAGGTCCTGCATCTTCCTCCCAACCTTGGTCGTCTGAGGTTTTTTAAAATTTTTGCAGTCGCATCCGTGTGGAAGCCATTTGGGCATCGAAGCAATGCAGTCCGTTTCATGTGAGGGTTCCAAAATTTTGGCGCTCTTTTCGGGGAAACCCCGGTTTTTTTTTTGCACATTGCTTAGCTCTTTGCACTGACCCCTTGCCCGGTCTTCGCCATGTAAGGCTCCCACTCCGGATCAGGGCCGCGTGGTCCAAGAGGCAGCGCACAGTGGTTGAAGCCCTGAGACAAGACTTTCGCCTCGCCTGCAGCGCCTGGCCAGCAAGGACAGAGGCTACAATTAGCAAAATAATAACAGTAACAATATTAATAATAGTAACAATACTAGTAGGAACAGTAGAAATCAAGATAATAGGAATCATATTATTTTAGAGGTTCGTCACTGGTTTCTGGCTCTTGCGCACGGAGTGGCATCCCACATCAACAGCTCCACTTTGTCGCGTGGCTTCGGGGCACGAATCAGGCTTGCGCTGCAAGTCCTGGCCTGCAGTTCTATCCAGCAGCAAGGCGCCATGCCGGCGGAAGAAGACTCCCCCAGCCTGAACACGGGTGGAGGTTTCACGCCTTCAACTGCAGGCACAGGGCACTTATAGGAAGAGACATTCCTCCTGTTCCAACTGAGAGTTTGCGGTACGATCAACGCCCGCGACCACCTCTCTGATCACGTGATGTCATTTGCAACTCTCATACTGCTATTAGCCTCACCGCGTGCAGCTAGCCCGGCAGCCCGCTGAACCAGGCTGGCCACGCCTTGACACTTCAGTCAACCTACAACTTCAGCTCCAGCAGACACAGCGGGTTTGGCCGCTGCCGCGGGACACCAAATTCGTAATAATAATAATAATACTAATAGTAACAGTAATAGTAATAGTAATACTAATAATAATAATAGTAATAGTGATAGTAGTAGTAATAATACTAGTAATACTAATAATAATAGTAATAGTAATAATAATAGCAATGTTGCTGGAGACAAGGCTCTGCCGCTTGGCGCATGTCCAGGGAGAAGCCCCAGCTCCTGAACGTTTGGGCTGCGAAGGACTTTCCAACTCCTTGGGGTTGCTTTCGAGAAGACATTGGGATTGTCATATTACTTGTGCGACACATGAACCATCAGCATGCTTTCTGCGGATGCTAGCAAGCAAGGTTGTAGAACAAAGTCTAAAGAGAAGCTCCCATCTTCTTTTCCATCCTCTTTACAGAAACCCTATATGGTAGTTTCCCAAAATTAGGGTACCCTAATATAGACCCCAATTTACTTTAGTCCTTATTATTGGGGCCCCCAAAGAGGTACCCCTAATTTTGGGAAACCCCCATATTAACCCCCAATTAGACCCTGTATTAACCCCTATATAGGGCAGGGGCGCCTGCAGTTCTTGGAGAAAGGTTGGCTGCAAGGTCAGGTGAAGATCTACCTGCAGCGCTATATACATATGAACAATGCTGATAGTAACAAAAAAAAGAGCAAAAATGATAGGAATAAGAATAAATGGTAGCAATCATCATTGTAATACGAATGCAAATCGTAATCGTAATCCTAATACTAATCACAGAAGTAATGTTGATAATTATCGTAATAACCACCCAAAAATGGGTACTGTACATATATATATATATACATATACATATATACGCATATATAACCCTAGTAACTTACATACTCTCTATATATGTATATAATACTTGAACTACTAGGGCGCTAGAGATATATAGTAAGTAAGTGCCCTAGAGGGTCCAAAATGATCAAGTGCCCACTTCTTGCGTGATTGGGATTGCCAGTACAGGTGTGTAATTACAGGTATTGTTGTAAAACGGAAAGAGCTTAGAAAAAGTACATGCTTGCTCTTGGTGCTGGAATTGTACTTACCCTCACACCGGGCGTGGCAACCAAAGTCCGAGAATCGAGCCCCTTCGCTCTGCAGCCGATCCAAGTTCTGACGAAGGCAGGACCGGTCACTGACTTCCAAGCAAACCTGCAGCCATGCTCCGGCTCATATGGGCCGTAGTCTAAACTCCTAGTACTGTATCCCCTTGATAAGCCCTATAGTAATTAGTCCCCGATGCAATCCCCTATATAACGTTCAAGGAGTTTAGACTATAGTACATATGGAATGACATGGAATGACACTCAGGCAGAAGACCTTTAGAGTCAAACCTGCGGACAGTGCTGACAAAGGGCAGACAGCATCAGCACCGTGCCCTCCACATCGACAGAAGCACCCTTGCAAGCTTGATAGCAACGCTCACGTGCAGATGTCCCCATGTCAAATCCGACGTCATGCTATGCGAAGCTAGATGTTCTTGGACTGCGGGTAAGATGTAGCAGAGGGTGTCTGTCTTCTAGAACCTCAGTGTAGGAGTTTGATCCCAGCTCATGTGATACAACCTCGCCAGCACGTCTATCAGGGCCCCAATTTGTGTGTCAGCAGGTGGGCTCACCTGGTCCACTGAGGCCCAGCATTCGGCAGCCAATTTGAGCCTCGCAGGATCATGTGTATGTGTTTCTTACGCTGCTGCTCTTTCCTGCTATCGTTGTCCGAGCGCCAAATGTTACACGAAATTTGGCTGCCCGTTAAAAAGATTTTGATGAGCGAATCAGCTGCTATGAGCATTGTGCAAGGTCTTTCCTGTACCTCCCAAAAACAATGAAAAGACGCCCCAACTACGATGACGACGACGACGACGACGACGACGACTGCTACTGCTACTGCTACTGCTACTAACGACGATGACTACTACTATTTCTGCTTCCGCTACTACATCTACACACGCCATGATTAATACTTCTGCTACTACCAGTTACTACCACCACCAATCAACCTACTGCTACTCCTAGCCACACGATTCAAAGGATGACACCGTGAGAATGACAAGGCTAAGTGAAGACTGATAACGAACATCGGGGCACAGGGGTTCCCACATGGTGGTTTTGTATAGGGGTCTATGGATTTTGAGTCGGAGGTTAGGCAAGCGTGCAAATGATAACCGGCTCCTTCCAGCCCTGAGATCCATGCCGGTCGGCTCTGGTTGTCGCTTGCTCTGCCTCCTTGCATGCGTCCAGCACCCCTGGACTTTGACAACAACTGGCTTGGACTTCATCGCTACCACAGCAGCTTAGAAATGGGGTCCTCCAGCCACTGTGGGATCAGCTCAGTTGCAAGCACTGACCTATCTTTCGAGGATTCTTTGCTCAGGGCAAAACTCCTCAGCTTGATCAACTCAAGGCCGTGCAAAGGAGATCGTGCAGGAGGCTCAGCACATCCGGCTGGAAGCACCCTGATGATGCTCAAGACGCCCAGCAGAAGTTACAATACACTCCCTGCAGAGGCCTTCGATGTATGGCCAACTCCTGCCGCATCGACTCTGAAAGATCCCACTAATGAAAAGTCAAACGAATCTCAGGACGTCCTGGTCTGCTTCGTCATCAGATGGACACTGCCATCGCAGCGCGCGTTGAAATAGAGGCTTTGCAAAGGCCTCAAGTTCCGCCTCACGCAAAAACACGGCTGTGGCAGCTTCAGTCTATAGTCCCCCTTCAATAGATAGAATGTGGCTGTGGGTATACTATAATAAGAACCCCATATACCCCATATTCTATGTACTTAAGGGGGACTATATCTTAGGAGGGTTTCAGCCACATGGCCAGGCTTCATAGCCTGCGAGAGAGTCTGACCACGATGGTGTTGCAGCCGACCAAGTACACCAAGTGCCTGGACCCATGGGCTTTGCGCAAAAAAAACGAGTGCAAGATATCGAACAGACCGTTTCCGGCCCATACAGCCTCATCAGCGAACATGGCATTCTCCCGCACCAAGGCCGCGCGCAGCAATCCTCGGGCCCTCGCAGTCAGAAGTAAGCGTTCAAGGACGATTGCACACAGATATTCTGCACGGAACGCACTGTTTCACCTCGCAGCGCTTCCAGCCCGGCAGGGGCTTTTCTGTTGCTTCGCACTTAAAGGTGCCAGATCTTGTGGCTCGTTTCGAGCTATATCAAGTTCACGGCGTCAGCGTGCGTGAAATCAATCTCTTGCTTGTGTATTGGGTCAGCAGCCAAACATGCGAACATGCCAGGAAAACACTGTGGTGGCCCATGATTAAAGTGCGGATGGGATTCCAAACACAAATCGGCCAACTGTGGCACATCAAAGCTCGGGTGATCTTGACTTAAGCTTTTTCTCCATCCCGCTGACGAAGAATGCCACCTGACAGGGTACTGGATCCAAACACGGTGCTCGCTGGATAGCAGCCCTTTTTGAATCCGGACTTGATGACTAGCAGCCTTAAACTCTAAACCGCATTAGAGCAGGCGCAACAACGATGTCCCCTGCACTGAAAGATCTGCGTTTAGGGATGTGTTATCGGTCCATTACATGTAGCTCAAGAGTTAATCCATCCTCCATTCCTCAGGGACTGTCACTCGATTAGGGTTTTAGGGTTCAGGGTGTAGTTGGTAAGCATCTCCCCCCGCCGTCTCTCTGGCCAGCTTCCTGAGTCAAGCAGGGAATCAAAACAGAAATGCCTTTGAGGATCCTGGGAACTCATGTACACAAGAAACCCTAAGGTATGCTCCAGAGGTCATATGAAAGGGTTCCGTGATGTTCAAAAAATAGGGGCCCTCAATACAGACCTCAATATACTGCGATCCTTCTGATTGAGACTCCCAAAAGGGGAGCCAATCTTTGAAAACCGTCATCCTGATAAAGTCCTATGTAATCTCAGTTTCCGTTTCGCTTCCATTATTTTAGCCATTCACTTCTCCATAGCTGATCCCTATACCTACATAAGCCCAATAGCATGTATTCCCAAATCCCTGTGTAGGGTCCATCAGGATAAGCTCTCCCAAAACCCTAAACCCTTAAACCCAAAACCCTTAAACGCTAAACCCTTTGGCCGGGCATACGCGGCTATCACGAAAAATGTTCTCACGAAAACTGTTCTCAGGACTCCCATACAGACAATGGCTGGTCCTGTGCCTTTGAGAAACCCAACTGTGGCTTGGAATGGGTACACTAAGCTGGCAAAGGCGGCGCGCCGATGGCACAATGCCTAATTTGTAATTAGCTTTTTGCCCTCTGAGTTCGCCCTAAAAATCTTGGCGTGCTGCTCGCCTGGATGGTCATCAGGCAGCTTGCATAAACCCTAAACCCTGAAATCCTAAACCCCAAATAGTGGTTTCCATTGTATTTTCCATTATCCCAATATAACCCTAATGTTACCCCCATGGACCCCAACCCATCCAAACCCTAAACCCAAAAACCCAAAACCCAAAACCCTTAAACCCCCAACCCTACGCCCTTAAACCCTAAACCCCAAAACCCTCACCCCTAAAACCCTTAAACCCTTAAGCCCTAAACCCTAAAATCCTAAACCCTTCAACGTCAAACCCTAAACCCTCAAGCCCATATAAACTTACCATTACTCAGGGTACCCAAATTTCCTTAATTTTGAAATTTTAAAATTTCAATAGTTCAAAAATTCAAAACCAAAATAACCCCCAAATCCTAAGTAAGGGTAATAAACCCTAAACCCTAAACAGGGCAGAGCTTCATGGATAGGAAGGTCCCGGGACAGCCCCGAGGCGCTGCCGGGCAGCCAGCCACAGTGTCGCAGGTCTTGAAGGCACCCCACTCCTAGTGGTTCTGGGTTTAGGGCTTAGGATTTAGGTTTTTTTAAGCCTCCCGCACGCAGTCGGAACAAAGGCCATGTTGGCCGAGCGAGGATTTAGGATTTAGGGTTTCCTTGCCCACCAAAATTATGAACTGTTGGAGAAAAATTTTGCTAAAAAGATAATGTGGTTTCCCCAAACGATAAGCAAGTGAGGAAAACATGTTCCAAACGAGGGGAATATGGCTACCCTCAAACTAATCAACAATTGGGCCCTATGACTACAATACGACTCCCATAGGGTCCTCATTCTAAGGGTTGGGGTTACCAAAGACCTGCTTTACTCCCAGACAGTGGAAGGGCCTAACAAAGCCCTTGGCTGCAGAGGTTAATGCCCTAACCCTAATACGAAAAGCCTACACCCCTCTGAGATTAAATGTTGAAGGTGTATTATGATTTGTCACCACGGGAATATTTCATGCTCCAGCGAGGCGGTCGTTTCCTGCTTCTGAGGGTTCCCTCTGTTCGGGAGAATGCTATCTCAGGAGGGTGTTGGAGGTCTATTAATTACGAGAAATACCCATTGAGTAAGGACCTTACACTGTAGCGCTCTTTCAAACCCAGAACGGAAGAAGACCTTCCTCAAAAGGGTTGTTGCCGCTTGCATGGCCGTAGAGCAGGGCAAGGTAACAATTCCGGCAGAGGCAAGCTGCGCGACAGGGACAGCATCGGCATCTCAAAAGGGTCTAGGGTGGTCAGGCTGCAAAAAGAAGAATTAACGCTGACTACGGTGCCATGCGGGGGGCCTCGGAGAAAGGAGTGCTCATCATTGGACTGTTATGCGGCTGGCAGGGTTTCAGCTTTGGGTTCCCATTCCATCCCAAACAAATGCTACAAGAACTGCAAGTTCCCTGAAGAGAGCCCTGCACATAAGTCACTTTCCATTGTCGCGAGACATGAGTATATGTGGTGTATGCAGGGATGAGACAGGCAGGGTGTAGCATTGAGAACCCAAGAAGGGTAGTCATTGTTTCAAGGAGCTCAGCTAACTTGCCATACTCGTAGTAGCCCCCCCCTATACGGTAGTTTCCCAAAATAAGGGGACCCCCAATATAGACCCCAAAATACTATAGCCCTTATTTTAGATACCCCCAAAAAAGGTACCCATAAGTTTGTGAAACTCCCATACAAACCATATGTAACCCTAACCCGGAGCATTCAAACGAGGATCGTTGTTCCAGGATAGAAGCCGCTCCGCCTTGGAGGATCACTCCTACACCCTGGCTTGTTCAAAGCACTGAGTTGCTGTTAAGGAACTTAAATGAAGTTACCACAACATGGGTATATAGGATTTAGGGTTTAGGGTACCATAATAGGGGTATATAGGAAATAATGTGGTTTTCTTATTCTTGTGACTTGAGTTAAGTTCCCTCATAGTAACCCCAACCAGTCCCTCTTAGTGTAACGCTTGATTCGGAAGGGCACGAAGCGGGGTCCCTGCAATATGTCTCTTTCCATTTGATTCTGCATTATTGAAGTGAGAACCACACAAACCCAGCATCTTCCCTATATATCCCTATATGATGGCACCCATTTGTACTTGTACTTCTCTGTCTGTATGCTGAACAAGTCTTGCTTAGATAGGCGATGCATGAATGATGCTTCGCAAATTCAATCCAAGATTGTAACTCATCCAAATAAGAGAGATTAACAGTAGCACTAGTAATAACAATGATGTTATTGTTGAGTGCTACCAAATTTGGAATCTACCCAAATACTTGCAATACAAAAAAGTGTCATATTAAGTGTTGACTACTATCCTGGATAGTCCCCCAAAAAGATAATGGCACTAGTCTGGGGGTTATTGTGCCAATCTTAAATGCATGCTCCATTAAACGGACACGTTGCATTTTCACGGCCGGGAATGAACTTGTCAGCGTCCTTGAAGACTGATGGATCTTTGTTTGCCCCGCTGCTCAGCAACATGGTGAGCTCACCTTGGATTCGCTCGATAGTTCCCGTAACTAGGGGACCCCATTATAGACCTCCAAATACTTATCCCTCATTTCTGGAATCCCTATGCCATTTCCACCGTGCTCCCAAGTCAGGGCATGCGGCCTTCCCGTGCGTTCCAAGTCTTGTTGATGGAGCTGAAGTGGACCTCAACCCTAAACCCTTAAACCCTAAACCCCTAAACCTTAAACCCTTAACCCCTTAATCCCTAAACCCTAACCCCCCCCCTCCCCCCCTCCTTCGTAGGCTTTCGAAACTGTGCTGGGTTCATTCCGCCCACGGGCGGCTTGACCCGAGCAGCTTCAAGCCTGAGAAGCCAAACCAAGAGAGACACTCTGCAAGATAGCTGTATAGGGATTCTATAGGGGTTCTATAGGGGTGATATAGGGATTATATATGGGTTATATAGGGATTATACTGGGGTAATATAGGGATAATGGAAAAGAAAATGGAAAAACCTAAGAAAGCTCTTGAAAATTGATCCCGCGATCGAGGCTCATGAAGGCATCAGGGTCCTTTTTGAACAGCGGGACATAGAGGCCAGGGTCCTGTAGCAGTAGCGGCTTCACTTCTGAAGGTACACAAGGTAGTTTCCAAAAATTAGGGGTACCTTTTTAGGGGTCCCCATAAGAAGGATTACAGTATTTGGGGCTATTTTGGGGTCCCATTAGTTTGGGAAACTACCACAAGTCGCAAGGATCAGGGCCAGGAGACTCCTTCCAGATGATTCGGAGCGTTTCGTAGGCCAAATTGCCTGTCCCTCCATATCCGGCAAAGAGGGCGATCCACACCATCTCATCCAGGCGCTGCTTGCCTGGCCTGCCCCAGGATAATATGGGGGCTTTCCAGTACATTGGGGTCCACATTAGGGTCCCCTGTGCATGGAAACCGCAGGTGTTTATCTAATCTGGGGTCAGGGCGCAACTTTCATTAACTTTCACAAGAGCCCCTGCGACCCAAGCGCAAAAAGTTGAGGCGGGCAGCATGCCCCGCTCGGCGCCCAAAGCGATGAACTTCTTGGCGACATCGCCAGCTTCCACTTTCTTCATGATGATGGAACGTATCTCAGAGAGCCTGCGGCCTCATCTCAACAGAGACATCACAGCAACTATTATAACAGTACAGCTACGGCTGATGATGGTGATGATGACCACCACAATGACACAAGCTGATAGCATTCAACCCGAAAGCCTGCTGTCTTACCTGACAAACTGACGCCAACAATAAACCGATGTTCAAGATGAGGGCGAAAACCCTTTCGCCTGCCTTGGTATCCCAAGATAGGGGCGCCAAGCACTGCAGGGGTGAAAGTGCCATCCTTTCTTGAAAAGCCACTGGCATCCACAGGACCCAACTACTGCAGGCAGCATGGCAGGTTGAAACATTGCTGACCAACAAAAGCGCGCGAAACTCAGGTGCAGCATATGAATGCAGGCGAAGGTCGTATTCAAACATGATCCCAAGCTCGGTGCCCATATCTACACCAAAAAGAGCACGAAACCTGTTGGGAGGACATGCACAGAAAACATCCTTTGGTTCAGAGCCCCTCTTGGGACAACAAGTTTTAAAAGTCTGATCAGACAGTCAGGCTGCAGGTTGAAGCCCACGGTGTCAAAAACAGACCGTTTATCGCTGGAATCTGCCGTGATTCCAGGCGGAGCCTTAAAGTCCACCTTGAACTCCTGTGCGAGTGATGGCAGCCTGGGAAGCAGGAGCGCAAACAGCACAATCATAACAATCATAACCATTATGATGCAAGCGGTTGTAATAAAGCAATCTTGATAAAGCAAACAGGTATGAAACGATCAATGAAGTTGAAAAGCACGAAGCCCTCAGCAAATCAACGATGGTCTAAAACGGCTGCCAACCAGGCATGAGCTACAAACGAGGTGATCCTAGTATAATTGCCTCTGCGCTAGGCTCATCAGTGTTCAGGACTGCTATGGAGGAGAGAGCCGTTACTGCCTATTCAAGATCAAGTGCTCACCTAAGAGTCAGAGATCCGCCACGTGACCCATCAGCCAATAGATGCCGCCGGGCTGTGTGTTCAGAGGTGCCCGTGTCAAAATTCAGCAGGATATCTGGAGAGGTGTCTGGCATTACTCCTGGGCCCAGGAGCTGTTGGCATGCTCTACAGTAGCTAGCTCTTCTGCTGCTATCCTCAGCCCCTCCCCACCTTTCTGAGAATGTGGGCTGGCGGCATTGTTCATGGAAACACAAAGGGGTACCCCACATCAGCAAGGAACAGAACCTGTTTGTTGAATATCTCTACGATCTGTGTTGGCACAGGAATGTTCTTATGGCCTGTTCCATATGGCCATCCTACCCCATCCCATCGCTTACACTCACCAATCTGCCTAAGAACCCCTCTGTGCACCCATCGAAAACCCCCTAAACCCTAAACCCTAAAAGAACCGGACCTCAAGCCAGCTTTCATCGCCCAAGCGCCTGCTGGGAGAGATGACTTGTTTGATGCCACCATCATGTCAGGTGGTCGGCCAGCAGCAGGATCGTGAGCCCAACTCTTGTATGCGGAGTGGGAGAAATGAATGGTACCCACAACTTAGTGCAACGAGGAGATTTGGAGTTGAGGATCTGGCAAAGTCATGCACATCTGTCTTCGCATCATAATAAGAATGGTTCCCAGTGTGTCATCCTAAACCCCAGCACCAACAGCGGTAGAACAAGCGTAAGAACCCAGACCTGAAGTTGGAAAGTGTCCAGCTCTAAAGAGAGCGAGGATCCTACATTGCATTCGCACAGATAAACAGGAGCATTCAATAGTATAGGAGGAGGGGTGGGGGGTTACCCTGGGCTATATAGGGATTTTATCGGGGTTATATGGGGGTTATATAAGGATAACGGAAAAGAAAATAGAAACTACTATTTAGGGTAGTGGGGTAATGGGGAAGGACATCAATGCATCCAGGCACGGTCCCCATGAAAGGCCCAGCTAGGCGAGATTGTTGGAAATAGGCCAACGCCAGTCTCCCAGGTGAAGGTCTGGATAAGTTCCGCAGCCACCTGGTATCTCTCTCAAAAATGCTACAACCCCTATAATGCTTCTATAGAAGCCCCATATTATCCCTATAAAACCCCTATACTATCCCTATATCATATAACCCCTTAAATTATCCCTGTATAACCCCTATAGCCCTATATAACCCTAGATTATCCCTATGTAACCCCTGTATTGTCCCTATATAACCCTTATGTTATCCCTATCTAACCACTTTTGTATCCCCGAAGACTCCCAAGATCTCCTCTAATCTCTACAAAAGGGGGGGGGCAATCCTTTTTGGGGGTCCCCATACCAAGGATTCCACTCTCTGACAAATACGCACCTCGTCCTTGACGCAGCCCAGGTAATCTCCCAAGCAATATGTGAAATGGCGGCCTCACAAGCTTCTACTTCTCACCAATTGAAGGGAGTTAGACAAGGTTACAACCTACCTGTGGAGACCAATCCAGACAGAACGATTCCCGTTCCAGAGAAATAAGTCATCGTTGTTTTATGAAACTCGCGAGAGATCTCTGGCACCATCAGCGCTCCAAATAACCTCGAGTTGCATCTGACCACATTTCAGCTTAGCAAGCCCATGAGCATCACAATTCAACTTGAGAAGAGTGACTTAGCGTTTATACTGTCGCAGCGGCGGCAGCAGCAGCAGTGGCAAGCGTCAAGCAGCAAGCAGCAGGAAGCGGCAGCAGGAAGCGGCAGCAGGAAGCGGCAGCAGCAGTAGCAGCTGCAGCAGCAATTGTGGCAGTGGTGAAGGTGGCAACAGCAGCTGCAGCAGCAGCAGCAGCAGTACTCAAGAAAAATGATAACAGTGAACTGAAAACAAGAACTGGTGCTATGTATAAAAAGTTCTTTGTTTTTTGACTCGGAATGTTCTTCTCTGCTGTGTTTTCTCTTATCGTTGTTCCAAGGTTTGGAACTTGCTATTGGGTCATCATTGTTCATGCATTTTGCACTTCGCGGCGCCCCCGGAAGTAATCCTCTGGCGGAGAGGTTTTTTACAACCCCAAATGGTCAACAGTAAAACAGTACAGGTCATGCACAGCACGGTAACTCACCTTTTAAATCGAATGTGGACCAAGGAGCGCAGCTATGGTCGCCAGAATGAACATCACGAAGCACCCAGCACCGCAAGCGCACATGGTTATACACATTTGTAGAGAAATCAGTGCTGGCCTTAACCCTAGACTCGACACTACGCCTACAATGTGCAGGTTCAAAAGCAGTTGCTCATGCTGTCAATTCACGCTTGAGACGCAGCAGTGCCGACAATGCAGATCGAGATGCTGCTTGCGCATAGCTTGCAACCTGCACAGCATAGAAAAACCGTGCTGCTTGCACTGCCTGGCCAGCCGCAGCTGCGGAGCATCTTCTGCAAGTTCCTCCCCCTGCCATACGCACATGGTGCTTTTTAGACGTTAAACACTTCCCCAGGACTCTAATGTAAGCGACCCGCCTGGCTGGCACTAGACGGCCCTCAGACAGGTAATGGGTAAAGAATGCTCAAACGTCGTCTGTGTCAGTGGCATCTAGACATCTTTCGAGCTTGGCGAAAAATGAGTCAGTGGCCTGTGGACAAACCGTTCTCCATAAGCACCTTCATCTGCAAATCAGATTCTATCAGTAGTGCAGAGTGCTCGAAAGTCACGACAAGCAATACAAAGGCTCTAGTCAAAGGGAGAAAGAATTCGTGGAGCCTTGCGCAGCTCATGGTTCGCAACCTGCAAATCAAGGGCAGCTTCTCCCCAAGACTCTGACTGTACTCGAAGCAGTTCCGCAACTACAAGCAGAATCACAACTGTGCTCATCGCCACAGGTGTTGGCTGCGATCAGCAAAGCATCTATGTACATCCCTCAACCCCAATCCTTCAACGTCCAACCCTCAACCCGAAGCCCTACAGTACCTTCCATGGTATATTTTCTACATTTGAACAAGAGAGCTCAGGTGGACAAAGGTCCTCTTATATGAGCTGTAGTCTAAACTCCTAGTATCCGCCTGAATAACCCCTATAGTAGTCCCCTATATAATCCCTTATCTGGGTAGGCCCCTGGGATATTTCACATTTTCCCTAATGGCTTTAATAAGGGACCCTATATACTGACATTTTTCGAAGGGTTTAGGGGCCAACCCAGTTATAGAACTCCCTTTATTAAGGAGTTTAGACTACAGCCCATCTGGGTCGACCCTGAAGTTTCTCCTGGAAGCCAGCAGCCCCTGTTTGTGGCTAACCTTATATGGGGGTTTCCCAAAATTAGGGGTACCATTTTGGGGGTCCCCATAATAAGGGCTATACCATATAACCCTTTCTAAGCCCATATGTACTGTAGTCTAAACTCCTTAAAGGGGGATTATATAGGGGATTATATATGGGACTACTATAAGGGTTGCTAAGGGGTATACTAGGAGTTTAGACTATAGCTTATATAACCTTTATACCCCGATATAGCCCTATATAACCCTACACAGCCCTATATAACCTTACTTGTTGCGAGCGTCGTTTTGTAAAATCGGGCGACCCCAGGACCAGTTTGGGGTTTAGGGGAAATTTGGGATTGCCGGGCACCATACCTAGGTTGACTCTCTATAAGCCCTGGACCCTATATAGCCCCATACAACCCGCAGAAAATCTTTGCATAACCCTTAGAGAGCCCTGGTCCACTTACCAGCTTAGGGGCTCATCGTTGGGCTTCTGGTTTAAGGTTCATTGCGGTTTATAAGAGAAGGGTCTAGAGTTTAGTGCCTAGGGTTCAGCTTGAAGTTCAACCCCTCCTCATCCCTTGTTGAGTTCATGAGAGCGGCTTTTCGTCACCCAGCGGCTCCGGAAGAACTTCCAAACCCTACACCCCTAAATCCTGGACCCACCTAGGTTTAGGGTTTAGGAAAACTCAAGACCGTAGACCGCAAACTGCAGTGAAGATGTGCTAAAAATCTTGAATCCTTGTTCTGCTGGTTGCGTCCTGGCGAAATCGCTCGTGTCCGCTGCGAACCCAAAGTGCAGGGGTTTGGGGATTGCCCAAACCCCAAAAGTGCGCATAATGGTCATTGTAACTATTTTTACGGCCTTGGAAACATCATTTTACTGACTTTTGGGGCCGAGGTAGTTTTTCGGGTACGGGTTTAAGGGGTTGACGGGGTATTATACCCCGTAGTGGACAAGAACGTGGAACATGAAACGGAAACCGATTTTTTTTTCGTCGTTTGGGGGCTTGGGACTTACCAAGAGAGCCCAACATACCTAAGTTGTGGAATATTCCCTTGTTGACAGTAGCACCCCTAATATGACTTACAGAATGTTTCTCCAGGGTTACAGGGCTTCAGACGAAGTCGCCCGGACCATTTTGTTTAGGCTTTAGGGTTGCTTGGAGGCCCATGCGATTTAGTCACTACGTATAGCTAGGATTATAACCCTACATATAGCTGGGGTAACCCCTACAAGCCCATTTAGGGGGATTATAAGTAGGGTTAGCCCAGATATAAGTGGTTCCTAAGTCCCATGGGCCTCCAAGTGAGGGTTTAGGATTGAGGGCTCGGCAGAGTCGTGCACGAGGTCAGCGCCACTGAAGCAACCACGGTTGCACCCACACGTCGTGATTTTGGGTAGATGACGAAAGCCTGATTGATGGATGCTTGAGAACTGTACCTCAGCCCTAAACCCTAAACCCAAACCCTAAACCTTAAACCCTAAACCCTAAAGCTTACAAACATTAATCACCTCAACACGAAAGCCTCCCAAACATCTGCAAACCAAAGTATCAGGCCGAAACTCTTCTGTAGACTGTAGAGTCACATGAGGTATAGTCTAAACTCTCTGAAGGGGGTTATATAGGGGATTATTCTTGGGCATATTAAGGGGGATACTAGGAGTTTAGATTATGGGTCACATGGGGGGTTTCTAAAATTAGGGTACCTACCACCATGGAGAATCAGATGGAAAAGAAAATAGAGAATGAAATGGAAACTAGTATATATAGGGGATTTTAGGGGTTAGGGTGTCCCAAAATTAGGTGTATCATTTTGGGTGTCCCCATAATAAGTATTGCAGTATTTTGGGGTCTATATTGGGGTCCACCTACCGTGTAAAACTACTAAGGCAACAGAGGATGACAGCGATGAAGAACATGCATAGTACCCGGGTAACGCTATGACGACCTCGCCCGGCCTATGCAGGAAACAGGTTGTTGGATACTTCCCCAACCATTACCGCCCCCCAGTTAACTAGTTCATGTAATAGTATACCCGCAATAGGGCTCTATGTATCACTCTTATCGTGTGGGGCAGTATCCAAGAAATAGTTGCACACAGCTTCGTCTAAGTTTTTTGGAATGATCTCAATCTGGTCAAATAGTATAGGCTTCCCACTTCTTACCCAAGGATCCCAAACCCTACCCCCCAAGCTGTGAACCCCAAGCTGTGTATCCACTAAACCTTTTTTCCCTGAACCCTTAATCAAACCCAAGCTCTAAAGCGTACACCCAAACCCTAAGTCCCCAAACCCCTATACATCCCTGAAACCCTGAGCCCCAAAACCCCCAAACTTTACACCACACCCCAACCCCCACTCGTCTCTGCAAGAGGAGCTAGTGAGAGCCATCAGCATGGTGCACGGGCCGAGGCTCGTATCCAGGCTGCTAGCGGTACCTCCTTTTTGGTTAGTTCTTATGCTCTCTGTTGCTGGAGGCGGTGGTGGTGGTGGTGTAGGGGTTCGGGGTTCGGGGTTCGGGGTGGGGGTCGAGGCGGCGGTGGCGGCGGCGGTTGTGGTTGCGGGGGCGGCGGTGGTTGTGGTTGCGGGGGCGGCGGTGGTTGTGGTGGAGGGCGCGGCGGCGATGATATGAATTTTGTCTGCTACTCGCAAGGATCGGGTCTCAGGCGTCAATTTCCTTGCATCTATGTTGGATGTATTAGGGGTAAATGTGTGGCAGATTCTGGTTTTCACGCGAAGACGTGTGGGGTCTGGATTCTGCTGAGGCATTACTACTTGCTGGGTAAGAACGTTTACCTGTTGGCTTTCCGGGCTTGCGGGTGGCCGGTATAGTTTCAGTTTTGGATAGGCCCCTACATTATCCCTTGCAAAGGTGTGTGTATGTAAAGGCTGGCCCCCACGAAGTGTTTCTGCATGGCCCAGGTATCCTTGCGTCGCTCAAGCCTCATCCAAACGTTGTAAGCACCTCGGCAGCAGTCGGAGGCTTCTTGTGAAGCTTTTGGTTTAGAGTGTTCGACCGTCCTAGACAATCACGAAAGGCAAACATACCTAGAAATGTTGGGTACAACAATCGTTCAATAGGTACATTGGTTTCTCTCGGCAAGTGCCATCATTTTGTGGAGGGCAGCGCTTAGGCTTCCTTTTCGTTAATATCTGCGACATGCAAACGAGCTATAGTCTAAACTCCTTAAATGGGATTCTATACGGGACTTTTTACGGGACTACTGTAGGGGTTATTAATGGGGATACTAGGAGTTTAGACTATGGCTCAAATGGTGTTGAGCCCTAAGCCTAAACCAGACACCTTCCCACTGGTAGCTTTGA